AAGGACTTGCATTTCTACAGCTGCAAAGTTTGCTCAAGGGTAGAGTTCATTCCCTCTCGTTGGCTTAGTGTATAAAAGAAAAGAGCAGGCAGCTTTGTATTGCATTTGTTGTAATCATTTGCTAAACTGGGGAATATGCTCTACTAAACCTAAAAAAAACAATTGACAAGTGCCTTAAGGCAGTTGGTGAATAATGTCTGAATGCAGTCTAAAGTTGTTGTACTGTGGTGGGTTCTCAAGTCTGAACCTTGTCATCATTTTCAGTTTGTTGTGCTTACGTGCGTCATGCTTGAAACAAAATAATTTAATCAAATTTCCACCATCTAATTGACAAAGAACAAACCGCAGCAACTCAGGAGTACCTAGTTTGGTGGGCTCTAAGCGAAATATAATTAAACTGCTATTTGTAGCCTGCCTGCTGTGCTCGGTGCATGAAGGGTACTTGCATGAGAGAGTGCACACAATATGCAGAAAAGAGGGCATAGAGGTCAACCACTTGTGTTTTTTTTTCTTTTTTTTCTTTTTTAAATTAGCAGACTTTTATAAAATTACATGTTGGCCATGGGTAAATGGATCTGGTCACTTTTTGGCAAAGTTTGCAGTCTTACTAAACTGGATGTAGTAAAAATGAGTAGATGTGTGAAAAGGCAGTGGCAGCTATCCTTGGCATAGCTGCATTAGTGCAACACATAATACACTTGTCACATTAAAGAGAAACTGTCTGAATTTTGTGCTGTCAAAGTATCAGGCTTTTGTTTGGCAGATAAATTTGTAGAACTTTAAAATATTTATTTTACATGATACATTCATTGTCAATTAGTTTAAAAAAAAAGGGTAGCACCGTAGTGAAGTCGTGCTCAGAGGACGAACAGCAGCATCTCCTGGGCTTCGCTCAAATACCTCAACTGTACTAGTGTGAGTAACTTTTAATTCAAGTGTGTATGTGAGAGAGGGGGGGAGAAGTAGCTGCAGTGTCAGAAAAGTAAATGCTTTTAGTGGCTGTTACCTTACTTTAGCCATGAAGTGTGTTGGTGTAATCTGAGGCTGCGCTAAAGTATCAGGTGAAGAAGCAGAGAGCTGCGATGGGCTGCAGAGCGTGTAACCGGGCTGCTTAAGTAGCAGGTCAATTTTTAAACTTTCTAATTTTGTTGATGCAGCAATTTCTGGGCTCCACATACTTTTAGTTGTGTATATAGGAACAGAACATTACTGTGCAGAGAACTTCCAGATCTGGCATATTTCTCGCATTGAACCATAAAACACAAACTGTGAGATCGAAGAATATTAATAATCCATTTATTAATTATGCATACCCATAACCCATATTTTTTTCCAGTTACAAAGTATATATTCAACCTGATTTTATGTCCTAGGCTCGCAAATGAGTCCTGCATTATATATGTAGCATGTATATTATAGTAAAGATGGTTATGAGATTCCTAAACAAGAGAGAATCCTGAAGGACACAAAACATCAAATAGTGACGTTTAGACAAACGTCTAAACATATTTCCGTTTGGATATTTCTTGATCTTTCACTCCCTGCTTTAGTCTTATTACCACAGGTCATTCTCAAACCTTGAGATTATTTGAAAGTGGAAATGTGGATCTGTAATCTATTTGAGTCAGAGCTTTCAGGACATATTATACAGCTAGCTGCATTATTCCTAACCTGAAGTTCTTAGCTATCAAACTCTCATCCCTGCATATAGTAACTTTGTTTCCATACAGATGTTTCAGGTCAGTCCTAATAAGTCTGGTTAATCCT